TTGTGCAAAGAGCATTTTTTTTTTATGGAAATGTCTCCCTGGCCTGGAGTCTGGACTTTTTATGGCAGCAGGTTAAGCTGTCACAGGCATGGCCAGAGGCTTCAGGAATGTCTCCGCTTTCCCCTCTAACACTGTATCCACTGGTATCCTGAGGAGAACATGTAATAGCTGAAATAGTGCTCAGAGTTGCTTTATAAACCTAGTCTAGCTCTTTGCTCAGTGTTATTATTACTAATTGCTCCACCCTAGTCATACTTTCCTGCTGAGTGTTTCTGATCATGCAGGTGGCCCTAAACCAATCATTTTCCTTTTTACCATTCTTGTCAGTGAGGGTACTTGGGGGTGACTCTTAGGGACCTGCAAGGAGTTCCTTTACTTACTTTATTTAGTCTTTTTTTTCTACCAGTTGTACCACCTTCAGGGTCAGGTGGGTCAGGGTCTTGCCCCTCTTGGAAGCACAGAGGACAGCTCCCCTTGAGACTGTTCTCTGAGGTCTGTACAGCATCCCTGATTCAGAGGATTGGTGGCTTTATGAAGTTTTGGAGGCCTTTTAGGGGCATGCCATTTTCCCTTGGGGATGGGCTCACCCTGGTGGGTGGGGGGACAATGTTGACTGCTTCCTTAGAGCCTTACTCTCTTGTCTTTGCCCCAAGTCTGGTTGTTGAATACCTGAGTCAGCGTCAGCAGTCCCGAAGAAGAGCCAGTGGCTTTGGTTTTTACTTTTGAACATCAAGGTAAAGCTTGGACCTATGGCACCTTTCGCTTTTAGATATACCTACAGTTCTGGGCACGTATATGGCACTAAATATGCCGTGACCACCTAAAGTAAGATATTTTTCTAACTAGAGTTCTAGAGTGAGCATTTGCAAGCCTTCATGGGCCGGGGAGATGGCTCAGCAGTTAAGAGGCCTTGCTACTCTTGCAGAGGACCTGAGTTCCGTTCCCAGCACCTACCAGGCAGCTCACACCTGTGAGTAACTTCAGCTCCAGGGGACCAGTGTCCTCTTCTGACATACACAGGCATTCAGGTATACCTGGCATACACATAATTAAAAATAAAAGGAAATCTTTTAAAAATAACAAAAAACCCTGGCCAGGTGTGGTAGCACATGCCTTTGATTCTAGCACTCAGGAAGCAGAGGCAGGTGGATTTTGTGACTTCAGGGCTATCCTGGTCTACATAAGGGAGTTCCAGGCTACCCGTGGCTACATAGTGAGACCCAGCCTCAATAAACAAACAAATAAATAAATAATAAAAGAAACAAGCAAGCAGATACTTAGAGCAGATTAATCTATTAAGAAAATCTTTTACATTCTTTTTTTGGAGGGGCAGGGGGTTTCAAGACAGGGTTTCTCTGTGTAGCCTTGGCTGCCCTGGAACTCTCTCTGTTCGAACCAGGCTGGCCTTGAACTTATAGATACCCACCTGCCTCTGCCTCCTGAGTGCTAGGATCAAAGGCATGCACCACCACTGCCCAGCTTAAACAGAATTAGATTTCAGATTATATTAAAACACTGAGTTTTGACTTTATGTGAAAATTAATACATTTAATTACTGCAAACTTAATCATAACTCTAGCACCTTTCTTAAACTACAGCTATCACAGCCTTTCTGTTCCTTCTGTTTTTGGCCTTCTCTGTGTTTCCATTTTGCAGTAATCCTTTACTTTGGAATAAATTCTTATTTGATGATAGGAAAAGCATTTCATTTTTTTTATTATTGTTTTTTAACCAAAAATATTTTTTCCACTTAATAGTTCCTTCTGCTTTCATTTTCTTAAAAAAAAAATCCTAATCATGAAAACACCCCAGAAAGCTGAATGTGAAGCAAATGGGGAGGGGGCCTGCTGATTCTTTCCACATGCTCACCTGTTTTTAGGGCCACTTCTGTGGCCACAGCAGCAGACGCTCTGGCCTATGTAGGGCTAGGAGGACGGGGACTTTTTGACATCCCCGAGGCTGTTTGGACTTTTTCACTCAACGCAGTGTTTCTCCACCTTCTTAATGTTGCGACCCTTTAACACAGTTCCTCAGGTTGTGGTGACCTCCAACCAGAGAATTATTTTGTTGCTACTTCATAACTGTAATTTTGCTAATGTTATGTACTGTAATGCAAATATCTGATATGTGACCCCGGGGCGGGGGGGGGGGGGGGCACAAGTTGAGAACCACTGACTTGGAACCTTTAAAAGCCTGGATGTAGGATACCTCCGACCATTTTCTTTATTCATCATTTTTTTTGTTTTTGTTTGTTTGTTTGTTTTATTAATTTAATATGTATACAATGTACTGCCTGCATGTATGCCTGCCCGCCAGAACAGGGCACCAGATCTCATTACAGATGGTTGTGAGCCACCATGTGGTTGCTGGGAATTGAACTCAGGACCTCTGGAAAAGCAGTCGGTGTTATTAACCCTTCAGCCATCTCTCCAACCCGTTTGTTTGTTTTTTTGAGACAAGGTTTCTCTGGGTAGCTTTGCGCCTTTCCTGGATCACACTCTGTAGCCCAGGCTGGCCTCATCTTTTATTAAAAGAGATCTAGCTGGAGAATGGAGTAAAGGCTGCTGCTGTTGCCTTGTCTCTTTAACATCTAACACACACACACACACACACACACACACACACACACACACACACACACCTGAATGGAATTTTCCATTCCCTGGAGAAGAGAGTGGGATTAAGTTTATCTCAGTGGTTGGAGGTCTGCCTAGATCTTCTGGGCTTTACTGCTCCAAGTTCTATGCTGAAATTCCATGGAGGCTTGAATTGAAATGACCCCGTGGTCTGGTAATCCATGGAGTGAACCCCCCTACCCCAGAGTGGCCTATGTAAACTGAAGTTCTCAGAAAAACAATGAAAAGCCACACCCAGGTATGGTGCAAGGCTGTTTTGTTGGAAAGATTGTGGACACTGGAATGTTGCAGCCTCAGAGATCCTTAGGCCGTTCATTAGCCCCCCTTTTGTCAGAGCATCTTATGACATCTACAGAAAAGTAACTAAAAACCCCATGTTTGGCTAGCAAGACATTGAGAAGCTGCCACAGCCTGGGTCCATGGGGACTCAGGCACAGTTCATGATGGCAGCGGACCTCAGCAGCATCCATGTGATGCTGATTTTGCAAGCATACAGAATGAAAGGGTTATGGGGTATCTGGGCTTCCACCGACATTTCAAAGGAAAGCCCAGGAGGTCAGGGCATGTGCGAAAGGATCAGAATGCTCGCAGGTCGTCTCTTACAGGGCAATGACATGAAGCTGTAGGACAGCGAAGCCATCAAAGACTCCACAGCAACGTAGACTGCCAAGACTAGGTCCTGCATACCAAGCTATAGGCAGCGAATAGTTCCGGCCAAAGGGAGTGACCACATGTCCTACAAAGAGCTAATCCAGAATACGGGGGCCACAGCTCGCCCTAGTGTACTTCATGGGCTGTGCACAGGCTAAAGGATTTAGTGTCTTCCCTCGTGGGTTTTTCTGTGGTCTGATTATTTGTATTCTCCTGTTGGGGGGATGTGAATGGGACGCCCTGCCATTGTAGTTTGGAAGTATGTAACATTCTTTCGATTTTCTTAAAGACAGGGTCTCACTGTACTTCAGGCTGGCCTGAAACTCAGGCCACCAGGAGCTACCATGCCTGTCTCTTTCAATCTTTAGAAAAGCTCACAGCTACAAGTTTGCCTGGAGTCTCTGAGACCGGGGGTGGACTTTCAAGCCAACACTTCAGATGTTCCAGACTTCTGAAGCATGACAGAGCATTTTGCACCAGATTCTATTTTACTGGATGGAATAGTAGACAGATCATTATTTTCTATATCTATATAAGAAAACACTGTCAAGTAACTTTGTCCCAGTGTTAAATGATCATTTATTGTAAGGTATATCCTGTTTTCAGAGGTGTTAAAAGTATGGAGGATGTACCTTATGATGGATTCAACTCTGCGCTGAAAACAGTATTTTTCATAAGAGTATTGAGCACTGAGTACATTAAATGGCAAATGTAATCAGTATCACATTCTTAATTAAGCTTTCGATCATCTTTGTTCACTCAGTATTTGCAATGATGAGTGAGCAGAGCTCACATTTATTTCTGGGCAGCATCTTGCAAAAACTTCATGATGCATAGATTTTCAATTTAGGAATCATCTCATCTTCAGTTTTAGAAATTCAGGGTCTGGAGATGACATTGAGGCCTATGCTGAGTGCCTCAGGGAAGACCTGAAAGTTAGATTCATGTCGAGAAGCCACACGTAATTTAAACCTTGCTTTGTGTTTCCTGTGTAGAAATAAAAAACTGAAACCAGACATTGTCACCGGCACACTGCGACCCAGCCCTATAGCGGTATGGAAGCATCTGACCCTTACAAGAAAGCTTTCACAAAAACACCCCCAGAACACTTGACAGAATGTGGGTGGGTGATCATTGCTGAGCAAATCCATATGATCTGTTGGAATGTCCCACAGCTTCCCAACCCCAACTGCCTTCTTTATATGCTCTGAAAGGTGGAGACTGTTAGGATCCTCACTCTGGCACATGCACAGCTTGGGGTCTTGCATCTTATGTCATTAATGGGCACTGGTGACTACGTACTCACCTTAAAAAGCCGGACGCAGACCCCCTCCCTCTCTCTCTCTCTGCTCTCTCTCTGGTCCCACCGTCTTCCTTTCTCTCCAGGCCTGGCTCTCCTCCCTTCTATCCCCTAATTCTTTCTAATAAAGCTCTTTGTAACTCTGGTAGTCGTGGCCACAGCCCGTGTCTTTTCCATCGGTAACCAGCACTGCCACCAGCACCATTTATCATAACCATCAGAGACCATAAACATTACCTACTTATTCGTCTGCTAGAACAAGTCTCCTAACAAGATCCTAAAATATGAGACCACTTGGTAGCTTATGGATGACTGAGAATCACAGGACATTTCTAAAATCGTCTAGTGTTCTCTAAAGTAGACCGGGAAATCTTGAATGCTAAGTAGGTATTGAAAAAATCTTCACTCTCTAGTTGATTGAACTCTTTATTCAGTGAAGTCATTAAGCGACTCATTCTCTCTAAGTATATGTCCCCTTTGTCCAGGAGTGCCTCGGGGGATTGTGGAGGACTCAGTAGAGGGGCACTTGTGTGGGTTCTGGCAGAACATCTCTAGATGACCCTGTTACAGATGGCCTCATTGGGTCACTCATTCCAACCACTTCAAAATCCATTTCATTCCAGTTTTTTAGTTGTTGTATCTTCCTGTTCAGTCTGTTGCTCATAGCCTAGAACTAATGGACAGGGCTTTCTGGTCCTCGCCTTTTCTTTTCCCTTTGCGCTGGCGTTCCAGGGGTAAGGTGGCTAATTTATACATCACAGGAAATAAAACAGCAGTGAATATGGCTGACCCCAGACATGTATAAAGAACGATGGGAAGTTCTGGGTAGTGTCCTTGAAGAATTCCGATTACTGCAGGAATCGCCATATCTCCCAGAGCGGCACCAATTACAAAGAATGCCGTGGATTTTCCACTTAGGCTGGTGTACTGCTCGATCCAGGAAACGCCACTGGGAAACGTGACTGCCATGGAGGCCCCATACACAGACGTTGCGATCCAGAGACAAAGAGGGCTCTTGTGAAAAAGCACCAGAAAGAAAGTTGAGACAAGACTGCCAATGTTACTCAACACGATCATGGTTCCAGGCTGTAAGAGTGTCGCAAAGACGATGCCCAGGCCCCTGCAGGCTGCAAAGGTCCCCCAGAAGACAGAGTTCAAGCCGGCTGCTTCACTTTCTTCCATGCCAACATGGGTGGTGGCGAAGGAGAAAACGTAAGAGCCAAAAGTTATCTCAGCTCCAACATAGAAGAAAAAGAAGAAGAAGAGGAGACAGAGCAGGGTCTTGTGATATTTAGCTCTTCGACCTCCCTCAGCGGATGCTGTGGATTTTTTCTGCCTTGAGCGTTTCTTACAAAACAGACCAAACAGGAAGACAGAGACTACTAAAATGTAGGTGCCGATGGAGGCGTATGCCCACAGCAGGTTCATGTCCTCAGGCACCGCAAACAGAGAGTCTGAGATGGCTCCAGAGGATTGGTTCAGCATCAGAGGGACAAAGTCTGTCTCTGTGTGGTTCTGAGCGGATGCTGTTGTCCCCCAGGCCAGTTTAGCCAGCAGGGGAGCCAGGAAGGCACCCAAGGCAAAATTAAAGTGCAAGGCCTGCATGTGTGGAGCTCCTTTGTCTCCCCAAAGAGCCAAGATGAGGACGTTTGCACCTGCCAATGAAACATGGGGAATGGTCAAAGTTAAACTGTCACTTCGTGTAGGGAAAACCAAATAGGCATTTACCACAATAAAGAGGTTGAGCCTGTGTCAAGAGGCAGAGAATCTGCGACATTAAACCTGACATTGGCCCCAAGTGATTCTGATCAGGGAACTGACCCATGAACACCAGAAAACTATGTGTTGTAATATCCCAGCCTCATACATGGGATGCTACAAGCCGGTGAGGCACCACCTCCCTGGAGCTAGGTACACTAGCAAAGGGCTGTTATAAACAGTGCTGACACCACATGGGGGAGTAAGACTGTAGACCTATTCATTGCAAGTGTTTGAAATATATGTGTTCACCAGGCACAATTTTATCATCAGATAGAGGCCAAATGACAAAGCTTTCTGTCAACCACTTGAAAATTGTGGGGAACATAATAAATACAAAACATTCCGTCAGGAACCCAAGTGCTATAGACTTAGATGTTTCAGTTACAGGAAACAGGTACATCTTTCAGAATCCACACAACACTGTCTGAACACTGGCAAGGGGAAAGCCATAAGCATCCATCCTTTGGCTATTTTATTTCAACCAGTTACTTTGAAATAAGCGTATAATTCTTTGTAACTTTGCAACCAAATGAAACCTGAGTTATAAAATATTACATGATGTATCAGATAACATTAGACCATCAAGGGATGTTCCAGCCAGGGAAGCAGATCAGTGCCCTTGCTCGCTTTCATCAGAGAATCTTCCTGCAGGAGGTGGGAGAAAAACACAGAGATCCACAGCCAGTGACCACACATACACACACACACACACACACACACACAGAGAGAGAGAGAGAGAGAGAGAGA